TTTTCTTTCATCTTAAGAGCACCATACATTCTTCGGACAACCTACTTCTCCGGCGACAATGGTGGTCGGAGATGTCAAGAACTCAAGCCTCACTGTTCGGAGAAGGTTAGAATGGCGTGTCACATCAGAATACATGGCGCTCGGGGACTAGCTGTGGGGGATATACCCCCGGGTACCACAAGATGGTACATGGGCCGCACCATCCGAGGTGGCCCGGCCCATAAGATCGAGGCGTGCACAGCAAGATTACAAGTTATACTAGATATTGTAATAGTACCAAATAGGATACTTTACTTGTAACCCTCCTCCAGACTATATAAGGAGAGGCAGGGGTCCCCTAGTCGATATCTCCAACAGACCTTAATCAATACAGAATAATAAGACACAGGACGTAGGTATTACACCAACACGGCGGCCGAACCTGTATAAATCTTGTGTCTTATGCCTTCTGTAACCATCTGGTTCCTGATTACACGCACCGTCTACCGACAATCTATCATCATGGGCATACCCCTAGATGGACTGCCGACCATATTTCGTCGATAGGGAATTGTTTTGATTCTATATACAGTCCAATTGTGGCTTGGTAACTAAAGCAATTGTATGCTAAATATTATTAATGCTGCTGCTTTGTGCAGGTTGTGGAGTCTGAGTGCTTTTGAATAATTTTCCTACAATGGCTAAGGGAGGAAGAAGAGGGGTTCCATGGTGCACTGGCTACCCAGCTAAAGGAAGCTTTGCCTTGCAAGCAGGAGTGCCAATTTGAAGGAACAGAGCACATCTACTGATCTACCTCGTTTTTGTTATGTAAGTCTATAGGGAGTAGAACCTTTATTCTCATATCTATGTACCGCTTTTGTTAATTCATCAGTTGACACAGTTGTTATGTTACTGTTGCTTGTTATTATGAAAAGTACCCTTCGTTGTGGACATGATGAATGGTGTGTAATGATTATATCTGTATGGTGTGTGTTCAGTAAGTTATTAAGGCCCAGCAGAATTAGTAAGTAAATTGTGAAAACCAGATGCAATTCTGTCACCGTCGGATGTAAGGGTCGTTGGCTGTTTTGTCATAACCACCATTCCACTCGCTGTTGGTGAAGCATACGGCCATTACCGCCGCTATTCTTCTAATGCAGTAGGGGTTAATAGTGTACCACCGCCGAATCGTTTAGTAACCTAACACGGACTAAAGGATCATCATAGACGGATCATACTATAACGCGATGGTGACCATGACCTATGACCAGATGGTTCATACGCTGAAGCGATGGTGATGTCCACCTCGACACAGACATGTCGGCCGCCAAAGCGACGGTGAACACACACCACACACAATTGGGTCATTGTGCGAGGCGACTGTGATCCTGATCATTGGCCCAACGATGTTGTTAGTGTACACCCACACAGGCGGGTCGTGCTCCAATGCAACGGAAACAATGACCTAATCACGGACGGATCATAAGCCAACACAACGGTGTAAGTGTACATCCATAAGGTGGGTCATGCTCTAATACGACGGAAACAACGACCTAATCACGGACGAATCGTAAGCCAATACAGTGGTGTTAGTGTATACCCACACAGGCGGGTCATGCTCCAATGCGATGAAAGTAAGGACCTTATCATAGATGGATCATAAGACAATACAGCGGTGTTAGTATACATCACAGTCGGTGACAGAGCCGACGGTGAGGGCTATGACCATCACTGTCGATAGCTTACTACCGAGGATGAAATTCGACTGTGATGGGGGGTTACGCGTGGCTGCGAAAGGTCTGGATATAGTAGTGAAGAATAATTCTCCTTCCAAAACCAAAGTTTAATAAGATTAAGTAATTAAACATACATTGTGATATCATATATAAGTAAAGTTTAATAGGATTAACTAAGCATACATTGCATATCTGGTGCAGCAACTTTAATTTTATGACTAACAGTAACAGGGAGTGGACAACTGCATTTCACAGTGCTGCTGAATCTCCATCTATGTCATGTTGGGCATGTTCTTAATCTTGTTCAGTTTGATCGATCTGCCATATATATCTCATTGGGCATCAACAAGTCTAGACATCAATTCCCTTGTAACTAGTAGTGTGCCCATGCTAACACAACGGTAAAATACAAAACAAGATAAAAATTATAAAAAAAGAAAACAAACGACCAGATTCATTAAGATTCACGTCTTATATATTGTATACCCAAAAGCGGCCTTTGCATCTTACAAGTCTAACTTTGTGAGAGACAATGGTCGGCTTTGCACTAGTTTAAAGCAAGTTGGGCACAGAGAGCAATATTGCAAGAATAAGAACAAATCAACTAATGTATCCTCAATTCAATTTGATTCTTGCTATTTGCTTACCAAGGGTGTGCTAATGGTGTGAATGTTAAGTTCATTAGTGCACCTATTGTGGGCTCAAAGAAGAAAGTCATTTGGGTGCACAAGAGTGTATTCAAGTCACTTTTTAGGAGCCAATTCTCATGACATCTATTTAGCCAGTAGAGTTCCTTCTGGTTCAATACATTCAGTTTTTCACTTATTAACCAAGCTTTCCTCACACATTGATCACTAGAAAGATATCCATATTCCTATATATTCTCAAGGGTAGCTAGTTCTTCCACAATAGCTCTTTTCTTTCTAAGCTCACCCCACAAATTAAAGCCCCACCCCTTAAAGTACTGTTTTAGTAACTTCAATTTCTGTTGAATTTTGTCTAAGGCAGATCTAGCTCTGCACTGTATATTCTAGATTTTCTCCACTTGAACTAGAAAGTCAAGGTTATCTAACAGTTTAATTCAAATCTGAAATGAATAAGCTTTAAAGGTTGGACAACCTCAGAAAAGAGGATGAGAGGGTTGTTTTTTTTCAATCAAAAGGATGAGAGGGTAGTGGTCTGAAATTTCTCTATGGAGTTTCTCAACCATCACATGAGGATAGATGTCTTCCCAAACACTTGATAAGTTGGGAACTCATGGTTATTGGACCAAGTAAAAAGACCTCCACTCATATCTAGCTCTCTCTGTTCATGAAAATGGATCAAAGTATTGAACATATCTGAGTATTTATTCAACCTTATGATTTTATTTCTCTCCTTGGTGTATCTGATTATCCTGAAGTCACCACCAATCAAGATGGGTTCTTTATTTGCAAAGCAAAACTGGGAGAGCTCAGATAAGAAAGAAATCTTATTTTCATCTTAGGCAGCACCATAGACAATCAGCAGGTTCTGATTTACCTTATTCAGTTTATCCCATATATTAATCTCAATCATATAGTCTCTTTGCCCGTCTAAATGACACCTAATTTTCGATTATGCTCTTAGATTGCTTCATAGTCTCTTTTTATGTAAAGGAATCATTTAAAAGTGATCTATAATTCTCACAGTAAAAGTGGGACAAAGTTAAAGCGCGACCAGTCACGCGTCGTGGGGGAGTGCGCGACCTAGTTTCACACCGATGGTCGTAGTTGTCCTCACGCCACCCCCGCCTCCTCCCCCTGCCCCCGGCCACCAGCTTCTTCGCTGGCGGCTGCGCCACCCACCGTTCCCTGCTGCAAGCTCCTCCGCCGCCCACCCTAACCTCCGCCGTCCATGTCCTCGCCCCGCGGAAGAACGCGGCCACGTTGGGCGCAGAAGAGGGAGACCGAGGTTGCGTGGGAAATGGGGTCGCGCCATCGCGCTAGGTTCGCGTGTTAAACTTTGCTTTAATAAATATCGCCCGCTAAGTTATTATTGTACGGTGGGTGTGATTTTCTCGTTTTTTTCATGACACAGTTCTAAACATCTGATCAGGCCGAACGTTGAGGTCGGTGGACTCCCCTTAGAGCAAGTATAATAAGGGGTTGTAGCGTGTAGGTGAGCTAAATGTTGACGTGGAGGAAAGAGGAGAGGAGAGAGAACAGAAGCGGGTTGTAAGCTTACAGCTAACTTATGCACAGGAACCAAGAAGTTATGTTAGAGATAAGTGGGCGATAAGCCGGTAAACTATTATACGAGGGGCTGATAGATTAACTGTAAGTTTTAGGGAGAATTCCTTGTGTGCCATTAAAAAAGATCGCAATACCCTGTGTGTCTCTGAAAAAATTTAGCGGTCTTCAGCGTCACTGCTCCAACTTTTTTGTACCCTCCATGCCACTGCCATCAGTTTGGGCTCTAATGCCGTCAAACTGCAGGTGTAAAAAGTTAAAAATACCCTTATGTCTAGATATGTCCTTAATTTTTTTGAGCATCTTAACGACTTCAAATGAAAAAACTCAAAACTAAAAAGTTTAGATCTCATCGAGATCTATATAAAAATTATCTTCATTTAATTCCGCAAAAAATATAATTTGATATGATTAGTATATCTTAGAAAAATCACATCTTTTTTTTCGAAATTAAATGAAAATAATTTTTATATAAAAATTATAGATCTCGATGAGATCTATAACTTTCTAGTTTTGAGTTTTTTTATTTGAAGTCGTTAAGATGCTCAAAAAATATTAATGACATATTTAGACGTAAGGGTATTTTTTACTTTGCACACCTGCAGTTTAACGACGTTAGAGTCCAAACTAACAACAATGGTTAAAATAATGACGCTGAAGACCACTAAACTTTTTGAGAGATACACATGCCATTACGTTTTTTTTTTCTATGGACACAGGGAATTCCCAGTCCGCAGCCGGCTACCCTTCTTTTTTTTCTATGGACACAGTGAATTCCCAGTCCGCAGCCGGCTACCCTTCTTTTAACAGAACGCGCCTATGGAAGTCCTTTCTCCCCTTCCGCGTCGATCTCAGCCGTCCGCATTTCCGATCTGAAAAGGTCACCGTGCACTCCGCCGCTCTCTGTCACGACCCTGAACCGTCCAACCTCGCCGCCGGCCTCCTCTCTCTCGCCGAACCCTCCCTCTCCGTTAACCCGCCTCGCCTTGAACCCTAACCTCCTGGCGGAGGATCCGCCGAACGGCCGGACCACTTAACCCCCCTCTCTTTGCGCCGCGCAGTGGAGTAGAGGAGGATGGAGTCGGAGGTGGTGAGGACGGAGATGGTGCTGGCGCCGACGCTGCCGTTCAAGAAGATGCAGACGGCGGACAAGTATCCCAAAGGCCAGTCCCGGGGCCGCCAGTGGAAGCACCTGCGCCACCTGCTCCAGTCCGCTGACGCATCCTCCATGCCCCCGGACCGCCCCAATTGTGAGCACCCTCCGGGTCCCCTCTTCTTGATCTGGATACTCCTCCTGAGTTCTATTAAATGATTATTGCTCCACTATCGCACATTGTGGCCGTGCTTGTCTTTAGAGAACCACCCGTTTCTGCGATTCTCCTCCGTTGTTCATGTTTATGTGGGTATTTAGTTGAAAATTGTGGGTTGTGTGTTGGTGCTAATAAATAGAGGTAACTTGGTTGCTCCTGTTCAGTTTTAAGTTGTCAGGGTCATACAAACAATTGATTTGATTAGAATGTATACATGCTTGTAGGCTATTGGCATTTGCCACCAAGTGGTTTGGTAAAGAAAAAGGTCTTCAGAACTGGAGTCTACATTTTTCGACAGCAGAAGTATCATGTCACATCGAAATTTGTCTTTACAGAGTAGCTGTTTGACTGTTCACACAGAAAGCATTAGATCAATGCCATCATTATGACTATTATTCCATACTTTTTGTGAAGAATTTATATACAGATGAATGCCAATAAATTTATGTTGTGGAGATCTTTGATACAAATTGATGTAAAATTTTAAGATTCTTTTAAACATCTATAAATGGAACCTTAGATATCTGTAATAAATCGTCACTTTTCTTTTTGAAGCGAGACTTTACTATTACTTAACCTGAAATGTCATCGCAAGCAAGCTGAATGATTCAATTAGGGGTTACATCCAGAACAGGACTGGCAACACCATGGCACATCGAGCCAAGCTCGGCTAGAGCTTGTGCTACTTTGTTACATTTCCTTTTTGTGTGCTTACTGAAAAAAGACAGCTGGCTTTGCATTGTTGATCATTTGGCCCGAGCATCACTCATACAAATTAAGAATTCCTTTTAGCTGCAAAGCATTTTCTCTATTTGCGTGAATGAGGATCGAAGAACTATGAGCAAATAAAAGATGGCAAACGCTTGGAGCGCTTGGGCATACTTTAGCTCCATTTATTCTTCCTTCTCTATCTGCCTTGAGCAAGAGTGATGAAAATCTAGGTACCACTGATATGTGAGGTAGGCTGCTGTACCCATATCCGATATGGCAGGATACCGTGAAATGCTGTGATATGCATATCGTGAAGTATTATGAAATTGTGATTTTAAAAATAAAAAGATTGAATCACCGATATGTTTCTGATACTTGCTGATGCTTCCACCCGATATGTTGTTTCCTATTCATGCGATATAGCAGGGTGATGGAGAACTAGGGAGAGCCTGGAAGGTGGGCCAGGGTCTGAGAAGAGTGCTTACCAAGGGTGGTAAGAGATGTGATGAGGGCATGGGCTACCCATTTTGCTAGTGGGTGGCGTTAGATAGTCGTAGGTGGTGACCAATTGATGGCTATGGCAAAGCAGCGTTGAGGGAGGTGATAGGATAGTCATTTGTAAGAAGAATGAGTGGCGGTGGCAGCTGCCTTGCGTGGACCACCAAAATAGCTATAGGGTATCTTAGGTGGGCTGACTGGGCCAGCAGCCCAGCACATGGAAGCCCACCTCATGCTTTCTCTTTTTTTCTTTTCCCCCTCATCTTGTGATGGATATGTATTGAGTATGTGTGTTTAAATATTTTAGTTGTTGAGTAGAGGTGAAGGTCCTGGGTTCGAGTCGTGGTCTCCTCGCATTACACAGGCGAGGGTAAGGCTTGCCACTGACAACCTTCCCTAGACCCTGCACAGAGCGGGAGCTCTCTTCACTGGGTACGCCCTTTTTTTAGTAGAGGTGCACACTAGCTGCTTTCCTAATAGCATCAACCTTAAATATCATAATTTCTTATGTTAAATAATTTTAGTTTGTTTATACATGTTAGTGGTATTTAAGTATATATATATATATATATATATATATATATATATATATATATATATATATATATATATATATATATATATAGGGAGAGTATATTCAGTAGCCAGCTACAAAATAAGTTATTCAGTAGCCACCTCCATTTACGATAATTTTATATACTAATTTACGATAATGTTAATACATATTTACGATAGTTGGGTTACTATAACATATGGGGATATTTACCATAACGTTAGAGTAAACCACTTAGCAAGGAGTTACTATAATCTCGTAAATTAACATAGTAATTATCGTAACTCAAAGTGGCTACAGAATAAGTTATTTTGTAGCCAGCTACAGGGTAATAGTTATATATATATAAGACTCCATTCACCTTATACAGTAGGAAGTAGGATACTGATGTGGTATACTTCAATTGTATCGAATCAGCAATGAACCCCATTTTCAACATAATATCTTGCAGGAATCTGCTGTCATTACTGTCATATACCTTGTTTATATCCGATTTGATAAGCTGCATATCCGTTTTCCTTGTCTTTTATTCCACGAACCATGTGTCTATCACTCTATCTCATATACAACCAAGATATTGTCTGATATGATCAACAGCATCTATCGATTGGTGAAATTGTCATTATGTATAAACCAAAAAAGCTGCACAGACTAGTTAGTAATAAAATCCTGCTTCTCTAATTCCTTCTCCACCCAGGCGAAGACCTCCCTCAAACTTCGAACAATTCTATTAACCTCGCACCCTGTTTTTCTTTCAATCAGTGGTAATTACCACCGGTTGATGGGTCCCCCCCTGACGGCAACTGAGAAATTTTATGGCATCAACACTTTTAAACACAAAAGATAATTTTATATAGTTTCATCGAGTCATGTTTTGCTTATGTTTGATAAAAGACCTGTTTTGCTTATGTTTGATAAAAGACCGTGCCACTTGAAAAATCCAGAAGTTTTTGTTCTTACTGTTTGTGCATTTTTTAGATCGAAAGACAATCAAAAGAATATGATCCCTTGTAGGATTGTATGCGACCTTTCTTAGTCAAATCACTCAAGCTGGATAATTGGACAAATAAGAACCTAGCAAGTCTTGAAATAAGGGTGTTACATTGTCAACATGTTATCTTGAATATGCTGCATATGTGGTTTGTGCAGATTGAGACAACATCTTATGCTGACATCGTTTAGTTTTATGCAGATATGAATATCCAATCGCCCCCATCCATTTACCCACCAAAGAGATACTGTGACTTAACAGGTTTTGAGGTAAGTTTACTTCAATATTAGTTCCTTCTTTTGGGCTTACATATCTGAGAAGGTCATTCAATGGTTTTATTGAGCATCTAAAGGTCAAATTGGAAGAAGAAAAAAAGGGTCATACTGTATTTCCTTATTACTACTATACTGGTCAGTGTGCTTACTTACTATTAGTATTATATTTTTGGTGGTGCAAACTTTTGACTTGATATGTGATTGTATCATCTGTATAGGACCGGTTCAGTTCTTGTGTAGAATGTGTGCTATTAGCTGCTGGTCGGTAGGTTAGAGGAAAGACCAATTGGTAGCTTAAAAGAAGCTAATCAAGCTATACCTAAGAAAAACTGGAACGCGAGTAGTATGCAACTCCCTCTGTTCCAAAATGTATAGGTCATTTTAGTTTGTCCCAACTTGAAATTACAACTAAGACGAAGTTTTTAGAAAAATGGATCATCTACTGCATCAAGTTTGTTTTATTAAGTTCACCATGAAATATGTCTTGATAGAGCAGTTGGTACTGTACATAACTGGATAGTAACATTTTCTATAAACTTGGTCAAAGTTAGAGAAATTTGAATGAGGACAAAACTAAAATGATCTACATTTGGAAAAGATGTAGTCTCGGTTTATCCCTTCCCCAGACCCCACTCATATGGGAGCCTCTGGCACTGGGTCTGCCCCTTTTTTTTTGGAAAAGATGTAGTCAATGCTGTTGCCTTTTGAACAGCGGACTATTTAAAGAAGCTTTGCATGTCTTTTGTCTTTTGGAAATGCATACTGTTTTCTTCTTTTGGAGCTGTGAAGCTGAAGATGGTGTCTGGAGAATATGGCTGTCATGATACTCTTTTGAGTTTGTATTTCTTTCTTCCTATAACTTCTGATTAGGGCCATTTCACATAGTATGTTTTTTCCCTTTCTTGTCCATGTGTGGAAGCCAATAGAATGAAAAACTTCTGATTGGAACTGTTAGGCGGTTGGTAGTGCTAGACTAGAAACCACTGGGCGATTATTGGTTCCCAGCAGTCACTTTATACAAGTAAGACACTTATATCTAATGTATGGCTAGTCTGTTTTGGAACACGAATGAAACAAGATTTTATATCTATTTTGTGTCTTATAAATCGGAAGTGACGATTGATTTCAGATTTGACTTGGATAATATCTGAATTCTTGCAATTAGCTGTTGAAATTATTCGACTCATTTCCAAAAGTTCTCTTTTGTAGACAAGGATTTTTGTCCATTTTTCTAGCATTTTTTTGTTAGCTATTCTCGCATCAGATTGGTATTGGTAGTGACATAATTTATAAATTTCACCTTCCGTGATATTAGTAACCTTTGTATTGGACATCCTCAGATTACATAATGTAGAAACTTCATCTCAGTTCCCTGATATTAATAATTTGTGCATTGGATATCCTCAGCTGACATCTATGTTAGTAGTTTTGGCTCAAGCTGAGCAGTCCTGTTCTAGCCACTGGGCAGTCCTGTTGTAGTTGAGCCATCCCTAAGGTAGTGTTTGGTTCTAGGGATGGGATGGTCCCAGGTGGGGTATCCCACTTTTGGATGGTGTTTTGGTTCGGAGACAAATAGAGATGGGACCATCCCACTAGGGAATATACTCTCTGGATGCGGATTCAACTTGCCCCCAGAAATTTGACGAATGGGTCGTCCCAAGTGGAATGAGCACTCTTGGCGCTAGCGTGTGGGCATGCAAGAAGAGAGAGGTTGATGGTGTCGGCGAGCTCCCAGGAGAAGTCGACAGGCCTTGGGGCCAGTGAGCTCAAGCAAGGTCAGAGGGGCTTCAGGTCCGGCGAGCTCAATGGCAGATACGAGATCTGCGGGGCGGCAGGGAGAAGAGAGAAGGGATGGGCTGACCTTGATTAGGTGTGGCGGAGTTCAATGGCGTGCGAATAGAGCTTGACGAGCCGCTGGGGCCGCGGTGCCAACCATAGGGACGCCGGCGACAAGCGCGTGGGACTGCCGGCTATGGGGACGTCGTGGGCCGTGGGGCTGCTGGCCATGGGGGCACTAGCGGCTGGGACGAAGGGTGCCGGTGGCTGTGATGCTGCCGGCCATGGGGACGCAAGCCATCGGGGGCCGCGAGATCGATGGAGAGCCGAGCACAACCTAACTAAACTATACCTGGCAGCTCAGTTGTAGTGTCTGCATGACAGACATGAAAGAAAACAGAATTCTAGAAAGAATACTCTGGACAAACTGCTATTTTTTTTTTATCAAACTTATACATCTCCTACTTCTGCATTTTACTTCTCTATGATTGCCGATGGCAATTGAACTAAATCCCTCGTTGCAGGCACCGTATGTGGATCCGAGGACAAAGTTGCGCTACGCTGATCCAGAGGTGTTCAAGCAGATCAGGATGCTTCCTGATGAATACGTCCAAAGGTACCTGGCCTTGAGAAATGCAGCAGTTATCCTGCGATAACAATACCTGCTTAGGGATAACAGTCTTGTTGCCTAACCATGCTGCAGTACTCAGATGTGTACTCTGATTGTATGGATGAGGTTGTTTCTGAACCTTGATCCTTTTAAACAGATCTTTCTTCCTCCCTCTTGTATATTGATGGATTTGCCTACGTGATTAGAGACATTATGCTGTATATTTATGTGCTGACATTTGCGAATTGATGTTTAAATATATTCTTGTCTACTTTAAGTGAATTGGTTTGTCGGAGCACCTAGCGCCCGGACGCTCGGCTTCAGGGGCGTGTTCGGACGCACCTCAGGTCCGTCCGAGACCATGCCCGACCCCCGCACGGAACAGTACACTGGCCCTGCACACGCCCCCCTCGGAACAGTACGCCGGTCCTGCACGGAACCCCGTCCCACCGCCCGCACCAAACAACGCTCGCCCCCTGCATGGAAACGGAATAGAAAATGGAACCCGCCCTTCCTCCACTCAATATGCTCCTGTTCCCCCACCGCGATCGTCCCAAAAGAGCATATAACACTTCAACCGTAATATTACAAAAACATATGGAAAAACTATGTAGTACAATATCGGGTTGTAAAAACTGCAACATCGAAAAAATATGTATTGCAACATTAAAAAACATGGACTGCAACATCGAAAAATATCTACTGCAACAACAAAAAATATGTACTGCAACATCGAAAAATATGTACTGCAACATTCAAAAAAATATCTACTGCAACAACTAAAAAATAAGTACTGCAACATCGAAAAAATATGTACCGCAACATTGAAAAAATGTACGGCAATATAAAAAAACATGTACTGCAACATCGAAAAAATGTGCTGCAACATCGAAAATTATGTGCTGCAACATCGAAAATTATGTGTTGCAACATCGAAAAATTATGTACTGCAACATCTCAAACAGTAGTACTGCAACATCGCAAAAACACATATTGCAACAATCGAAAAAATCCCATTGCAATATTCGCAAATCATCTGTTGCAACATCACAAAACACCCATTGCAACACGAGAAGAGGAAATAGGGACCCAGAGCTCGCCGGAACCCTAGCCACTGCCGTGTCCTTCAGATCCAGAGGAGGAGAAGGATGGGGAGCGCTCAGATCCAGAGGAGGAGGATGGCTCAGATCCAGAGGAGGAGGAGGAGGAGCGCTCAGATCCAGAGAAGGACCACCTACCTCGTCGGAGTCGCCGACGTCGTCCTCGTCTCCGGTGGAGGGCACGGGGGCTAGGTCCCTGGGCAGCGCGGAGTCGCATGGAGCTCGCGGAGGGGAGGGAGGGAGGAAGGGAGGGAGCGCCGGCGGGTGGGCGGGCGGGTGCGACAACGAGGTGGCGCGCGGTGTTTCTCAGTGAGCACGCGCACGCTGCAGCAAAACGGGGAGGGCGACGCCAGCGCTGCGGGACTCGGGAGTGAAGCGGTCGAGAGGATAAGGACCAGGAGCTGCGCGGGTGCATCCGGGCGTGCTGGCGAGTTGGTTCGACGCGGGTTCGTCCGTTCTATCCGAACGCCCGTCATATATCATTATCGAATTGGTTTTAATCCAAATGTGATATCTATCTATTCCCTCCGTCCCAAAAGTATAAGTTGTTTTGAAAAGACAGGTTCTCCTGGGACTCGTAGTTCCGTTATTGGATGAAAGCACAAGGAATCATACGTTAGTTCATATTGGTATCGGCGATAGCATTAGAAATACCGCTTGACTAAAGGGGATAGGGACACTGTTGTTGGAAAGGAAAAGCCTAGTACTTCTGTTACGAGAAATCGTTTCTTCAGTCTTCCTCTTAGGGAAAAATACCATAGCTACACAGTAAAAACTACTCGTTTTAGCTCTTTTAATATATAGTTTTGTCTATGTACATAGGGCATAACAAAAAAAATATATCTTCAACACTAAAAAAGACTGAGTTGTTTTTTAGGGCTCTCTCTTTATAATAACCGTTCGATCTACACATCGTGCTATATGAGCTCTTCGTCATCCGTGATCTTGCTCTCTCTCTATAATAACCGTTCGATCCACGTGCAGTGGCAGAGCTAGAGCAAAATCAAGGGGGGTGCGCTAGCCTTGTGGGTGCATAGAATTTTACAGTGTGGGTGCATATATGGTGAAAAATTGAACATAATCACTGTTTTTCTGATTTTTCGTGGGTGCGGCCGCACCCCCTGCCATGACTATGGATCCGCCCCTATCCACATGTCGTGATATTTGAGCCCTCTGTCATCCATGATGTCACATGTAAGAGGTAAGACTCCTCCTAAACTAAGATTCAAACTCACGTACATCTCGCGGTACGTCTATAATCCCACATACTATAAGTCATGTTTATTTTAGGTACATGAGTCAAATCGACTCCTATCCTTGACCTAAACCTTACGCTGGCGTAGAAAGTGACCAACACGTAAATATTTATAGTTTTGCTGTACGTTGTGATCGGATGTGGCCTAGCACTCAATGACACAGGGTTTATACTGGTTCAGACAACGTGCCCTACGTCCAGTTTGAGTCGGTCGGTGACTTTATTCCTGAGCCCAGGGTGCTCGAAGTTTGCTGTGGGGTTATAAACGGAAGGGAGAAAGATGGGTGGTGCAAGAGGTCCGGTCGGACTCTGGTCTGAAAGGCCGAGAGCGACGGGAGCTCCGTTATGTGCTAAGTGTTCGAGTGTGTGCTCGAGGTTTGAACCTAGTGGTTCTGTTGTGGAGTGTGAGTGAACTGATCCATCTTCCTTTTGGGAGAGAGCGCATCCCCTTTTATAGATGAAGGGGATGGCCTTACAAGTGAGAGAGAGAGAGAGTATACGTATGCCAAGTCTTGTTGCCCATGCCGTCGGGTACAAGATGATTGTAGGCGCCCATAATACTGTTAATGCCAGATGCATGTAGGAGGTTGCGTCGTCTTCTTCTGATATGGCAATCGTCGGTACCTGCCACACTGTTGATGCCCAGAGGCAAGTAGGGGTTTTTACCATGTTCGCTTGGTATGGTAAATGCCATCGCCCATAACACTGTTGATGCCCAGAGGCATGTGGAGGGAGCCTTACCGTGTTTGTCCGGTATGGGAGTTGATGGCGCCCACAATACTATAGGGAAAATGTCGACGCCCACAACACTGCTTGGGTTCTGACATGCTAGGGAGGTTGTAGGGTACTGTCCTGCAGGTGTATAGGGCACGGTTCTCGGTATTGCGGTTGACTTGAGTGCCTTGCCTTACTTTCTCTGTCTGTTTCCTAGACCTCACCGAGCGGACATCCCCGGTCGGTCGGTCCCAGTCGGCTCTGATTGCGCCAATCGGAGAAGAGCTGTAAGCAGGGGTTTGGCGCCTCCCCGGTCGGAGACGCAGGTCGGAGCGGAAGTGGTGTTTGGCTAGGCCTTCCAGTTGGAGAGGCCGTCCAGAGGCGGGCCGGAGTCGGAAGCGAGCGCTATTCCTCCTTAGTGAGGCCTTCCGGTCGGAGAGGCGGGCGGGAGTCAGAAGCGGGCGCCATTCCTCCTCGGCCAGGCCTTCCGATCGGAGATTGGATCGCCCTTCTGGCCTGTCGCTTAGGTATTTGGGCCGAGCCTTTGTTGGGTAGCCGGTCCATGAGGGACTCCGGGTTTATGAACCCGACAGGAGCCCCTGAGCCCCCGGGCGATTCGAGTAGAATCGTCTGGGGGGGGTTTCGTGTTGCCAGCGGGGAAAGTTTCGTTTCATTAGTGGGTGCGTGCGAGCGCACCCGTGAGTGTAGCCCCCGAGCCCTCGGGTGTTCGGGCGGAATCGCCTGGGGGGTTTTGTTTAGCGGGCGTGTGTGTGCACTGTAGTGGCGTAGTCTCTTCTTTTTCGTTTTCTGACCCGTTGTTTCCGGGAGCATGGTCCCAGGTATTTGGTCGTGGTCGAGGGATCGGGTGAGTCGGAGTCGCGGATCTAGGCGTCGGGCGCCACGGGGGATCCGGCGAGTCGAAGTCGCGAATCCAGGCGTCGGGCACGACGGGGGATCGAGTGTGACGGAGTCGTAGATCCAGGCATCGGGCGCAACGAGGGATCGGGCGAGTCAGAGTCGTGGACCTAGGTGCAGCCAAGGCATTTTGGGTGTCTTGAGCCCCTGAGCCCCGTTGGGCTTGGTAGGGGTCGGTTGAGTTTTGTGCGTTACCCCGTCCGTGGTTTCTCGCAACCGGAGGGGCTGAGCTAACGTCGCTTGCCTCGATGGCTCGAGTGACGCGCTCGGTGAGCTCACTAACAGGTATATTCGAGTGAAGTCCGGGTCCATCGTTCGTGATGGGGTCGGCGTAGCCCTCATGTGGCACTTCACTGCTCCTTAGCCTGCAACCCGGTAGATGCATGGGTCATTCCACAGACCGACCCGGGTGGCCTGCTGGCCACCCCTCGATGGAGATTCTGTGGGTTTGGCGGGAGGTTAGGATCGAACGAGAAGGTTGAGATGACACTGTCTGCTTCGGGACAGACTGGGCGAGGGCCGCTCGGGGCTCATCTGTGTTTTCTCCCCTGGCTCTGTTTGACGCGAGGCGGCCTCGAGGCTTTCGTGGGCCAGCCTTCAAACCCTGGTCGGTCGCTGCTCATGTCAAATGAGGCAACTGCCGCTTCGTGATGCAACATGGAGTGTTGTGATGCATTTAACTATATATGCAATGCTTTTGGATATGTGGAATGAATGAATGAATGCGTGCATGGATGAATGAATGTTCATATAAAGAAATAGTGGGGTTTTGGTAATGTTACCTTGATGACTCGAGTGATGGGGTTTGAGGAGCTCCTATCAGATATGTCCAGCCAGGATCCGCGCTCGTCGTTTGTGACGGAGTCAATATGGCCCACATGGGCCGTCCCTCTGCTCCTTACCTGTCTCTCGGCATTCACCTGAGCTGTCTGATCGACTCAAGAATCCTGTTGGTCTCTCTTGGCGGAGATCCTGTCGTTTGGGCCTTTCCAAGTCCCACCTAGGAAGGTGGAGGGCCGCCTGCGCGCAGTGGCGCCTTGTTTCTTGCGCTTGGCGTGCGGTAGTGATGGACCATACCTAGGCCACGTCCCGTCTGACCAGGCGCCGTTCCATCGGGCAGGGTGCGTCCCATCGGTCAGGGTGCATCCCATCATATCCCATCCGCATTGAATGGGGGAAGGGAGAGGGTTTTTCGCCCCGG